GACTGTATAAGATTTTATGATTCAAACATGTTGACTATATATTATCAGCATATCTGACTTTCAACAACGACTTTAATAAAATGTGTAGTTACTTAAAACCTACCTTCGAAACATCCAGCCATCCAGACACAGATAAAATAGGGGTTAGCTAAAAATGACAGAAAAAAAGCGGCGTACTTGTCAAAGTCGCCATTTATTCTAGATGCCAACAGTGTTGTCAGGTTGTTGGTCGGCTACACCGCACTGTTTCCTATTCTCCCATATGAGTTGACCCTCCAGGGTCAGCACGCCGATGATCCATCCATCATTCTGTGCAGTGTTACCAGGTATACCGTTTTTTCGGTAGATCTACCGATTTTGGTCCTGGTCTACCGAACCACCGATTTTAAAGCAAAATCTACCGAAAAGTGGACTTTTCTTTCAATTGAACAATTTTTGTTCCCTATATAAGAGAAATATTTCTGATGCATAGCGATAAAAAGAATGACAAAAGTACTATTATTATTCATACTAGACCAGATATATTTTTATTCTCTTTGCCTGACATTGCTGTGCCACATACGCTGATTCTTCGCATCTAGGGAATGACTGAAGATACTCGCCTAGGCCTAGCGGCTCGTGATAAGTCCATGCCTGTATTGTACGATTTGTATGATTTCGTGTACTTAGTAATTCCGAATTCGGTCAGCATTAGTATTGCCTGTCTTGCAGTCATTTTTTTTTCGCGTATGTGTGCCCAACAAAGTATTGCCAGATCTCCAACGCTGACTTAAAAAAGCAATAAAGGGCGCGATTATATGAAATGCATGGTCTGTGATGAAGATATTAATATCAAAAGTGGAAGAGATGCACTTATAAAACACGCAAATGGGCAATTTCATAAAAAAGTGCAAACCGTAACAGCCAAAACTGTTGTCATTTGCAGTTTCAGGTGCATCAAAGAAATTAGAAAATAATATTAAAGACGGTAAAATTAACTAATCTATTTGAGAAGATTTGAGATTATATAGATTATTTTATTATTTCCAGGAGAAATTCGTTTGAGCGCATTTTTGGCCGAGCATAATTTGCCATTCTTCCTGATGGACCATTTGGCAAAGCAAAATTAGTAAATAATATGACTGATAAAAACTTTTAAAAAATGAATCGGAACAATGATTATCCAATATAGCTTACACAGTTTTTATTTTATACTTTTTCTGTTTTTTATTAAAAATATTTTATTTTTAGTTAGCTAAAGTGAGATATAAACTGTTTATTTTTGTTTTGTCACAGTATACAGCCTTTTATCTCTCATTCCAAGGTGAAATCCCTAATATGACTGAATTATAAAATTGTTCTTTGATTGTTAAAAACACATCCTCTGCATGAGTGCGAGAGAGATGTATACATAGCTGACGGCTACGTAGAATATACATTAAGCGAGCTCGGTTAACAATTAAGTCAAAGCTTTACGACAACAATGCCCACAACAACAAGGCTTTGTTATTTTGTTAGTATGAAGAATATTTAGGAACATTGACAACACACAACAAGTTTTTGTCTTTTTACGTTTTTCGAGGTTGAAAATGACATAATGTAAAATCGCTTATATCTTGAAAACTATCAACTTCAGATTATGCAAAAAATCCGGATCAGAATATCGTTCCGAGCAGATGCGAATATACCATTTATGCAATACTTTAGACTTTCTGACCAAAAGTTAACGGGTATATTTTTATTTTTAGTCCAGCAGAAAACATCAAAGTTACGTGTGTCGTTAAGTGTTCCCTCAGTTTGAATGCGGGGCATTATTAGGCACGTATATTAGTATATTATTGTTACTATAATACGCTGTGTAAAGTTCCAACTTCAAGGACACCCTGTATAGTGGAGGCACTTGTATTTCATCCGTTATTCCCAAGAAGGAATTTTCGCTGAAATAATCTCAAGAAATTATTTTTTAACCTGAGATTATATACAGGGTGTAAAGTTAGTAGTGGATCAACAGAAGTCGGCTGATAGAGGGCCTCATAACATATCGAATGAACCCCTATATGTATGGTCCGGAATTTTATAGTTCAGGAGATATTTGCAATTTTGTGAAATTTCGAAAAAAACGGGATAATGAACTTTCAATCGCAATTACAACCATTAAGTTTAGAGCTGTGTTTTTTTTTGAAATGAGCTAAATGCTTAGATTTAGCAATGGTTATGTCACTTTATAACAGAGCTAGTTAGAAATCAACACAAAAAATCTTAAATTCATTTTTTTGTGAAACATGTCTTCCATCCCTCAACTTTGGAGGGCGGTAAAAATAAGGTTGTATTTCTTTATTCATTTTATTGAAAAAATTATTTCAATCCATGTAGAATAAACCCTGAAAATTTCAGCTTGCTACGTTAAGTGTCTCACCTTAAAAAATCTGTATGTTTGACGCATTTGGGTATCTATACATGTAAACAAGTAACTCTATACGAGCTACAGTCCAAACGACTTGATGGATTTTGACATATGACTGTTAGATTATTCGTCCTAGCAGTGCGAGTGATACTGTGTCTATTAACATTTTGTAAAATCAAAATGGCGGATTTTTTACGCAAATAGCCAATTCACCTTAATTAGCTTGGGCATTCAACTCGGTATTCCAGGTGCGGCAGCGTTCAATCTTCGGTCCGACCGAAACTACTAAGTACTATTACTACTAAGTAATGGTTCAACGCGGAATTTGTATCTAATGTTTGGCATCTGAGTAGAATCATGTCATATTCTCCGCGAGATTATTCCGAAATGCATTACTAATATGGTGCTGCCCTAGGAAATGCTCAAGCAGTTGCTCGCATGTATCGGGAGTATGTGGTTAAAAGAGGTGGACCACAACCGACGATATATCCCGACTACCGCGTTTTGCTACGCGTCCATAATACGTATATGGAGGGCCACTCATCGTCAGCTAGGAGCGTCGAGGATACGCCCAGAAGCAATAGAAGATATAATACTCGTAGAAGCAGGCGAGAGAAATTCCTCTATAAGCACCAGAGCCATTACCCGAATCGGAAACATATCTCATACTTCAGTGCACACAATACTACGCTCGGAGAACATGCATCCTTACCATGTAAAAAAGTACAAGAATTGCTTCCAAGCGACTATGCGTAACGTGTTGAATTTTGTGAGAATATGTTGAGAAGGTGCGAAGAGGATGAAACTTTTTTCGACAGTATTTTATAGACATGAATCCAACTTTAACCTAAATGGAATATTCAACATGTACAATTTCCATTCATGGAGCGTGGAAAATCCACACACTATTCGCCGACACAGCTTTCAATGTCAGCTCGGCGCTAATTAATTTATGGTCTGGAGTACTCAACAAAAAATTAATTGGACCATATGAATTGCCCGCCAGGTCGAACGGTCAGTCATATCTTGCTTTTCTACAAAGCAGTTTGCATGAGCTGCTAGGGGATGCACCTTTCGATGTTCGAAGCCGCATGTATTTCCAATGCAATGGTGCCCCATGCCACTTTGCACGGGATGTACGGCATTACTTAGTGCCTTTCCTGGGGTCACCCGATTTGAATCTTCAATTTTTTTTATAGGCGGGTTTTAAATGGGGATAATCTATACATCTGAATATACAAATGTCAACCAATTGTGCCAGAAAATTGATGAAGCAAAAATAAAAATTGTGGAAAACGCAAATTCATTTCAAAGACTAAAGGACAATTTTATTAGAAGGTGTCGCTTGTGTATAGAAAATAATAGAGGTCATTTCGAACATGTTCTTTAAAAGTTAGTTAAATTAAATTATCTTCCACAGTTGTCGGTAAATCGCCATAAAGAGCGGCTAAACACAATAGGTTCTGTACTTGTAGGTGGTAAGGATTCTATTGCGTTTCTTACGTTTATCGCATCACAACAACGAATGTTACTATACTCATCGTAGCAAGCTTTCATTTTCAGAGTTTATTCTACATGGATTGAAATAGTTTTTACAATTAAATGGATAATGAAATATAAGCTCAATTTTTTAACCGTCCTCCAAACTTGAGAGATGGAAGAAATTTCTCACAAAAAAATTAATATAAGGTTTTTTGCGTTAATTTCTAATAAGCTCTGTTAAAAAGTGACATAACCATTACCAAGACTAACCATTTAGCTCATCTCAGAAAAAAAATCACAGCCCTAAACCTAATGGTTTAGTTGTAATTGCGATTGAAAGATCATTATACTGTTTTCTTTTTTCGAAATTTCACAAACTTGCGGACCACACATATAAGGGTTCATTCGATAGGTTTTGAGGCCCCCTATCACCTGACTCCCGTTGATCCACTACTAACTTTACCCCCCGCATATGTATTCTTAAAAGGCATGCTTATTTTTTTTTTGATTTTTCTGTCAGAGGAAAAAATGAAAAAACCCTGAATCGAATTAGGAGATTGTAAGATCTGAAAGAGACATATACATTGCCTTTCAGAAAAACCTCTGGTGTTAATTTTATGAATGAGTCAAGTTAGATGGCTGGCATTTAGGATGATTAAATTGACGCATGGGTACAGTAGCCCAACGTGAAAATAACAGTTGATCACTTCAAGATGGTGGCTGGCCGCGACCTTGTAACAATTTTTACATAGAATAGGGGGTCACTTAGTATCTCATTATGTATATAAATATTCTATGACCATAGAACATAAAGTCACTATCTTTCAAAATAGCGGACTAACAGGATGCCAACGTTTAGCGTTTCTGTACATTGAATGGCTCATATAGGGTAAGTCATTGTGATATGGTGAACAAAAAAATTGAGTCGTATAACACATAAGAAAATGTATATTTAAACAAAATAAAGTCACTTATTTTCCACAAAATGTGTTGGCAACGACTCAACAGTATCTAAAGTAAAAAACACATTAATTATGTTTAATGATTTTGTCATTTCACCCAGGCCTATGGGTAAAATGGTGAATGCGTATTGGGTGAATTGGTGAGTTTACTTTTTTGTTTTTTACCACATCTATCACACGTGGAATTCGTATATTGAACAGTCTTCGTGCAGCCATCGTTGACAGCTTATACATTTAATCCAATCCACGTCCGTTTTAGTGCAACTGTACAATTCACCACACCCTACGCACCAACTGTCTTCATCGTCCACGTCGTCATCATCATCTTGCAAGTGGATATCTAGTGATGAGTCGGATTCGGTTTCAGTGGTAGACGGTTTTCGTTTTTTGTGTTGCTTGATTTTAGTATTTTGTTTTGTAATCTTTTTGGTTGCGGTTCTTTCTTTGGCTTTCCTTTTCGCATTTGCTTCACCTTTCACTAACTCAATTGTTTTGCTTTGTCGTTTTCTGTTTCGTAGGTTGACGATGTTAGATGAGGAATCCGAAACCTCCGCCAAAGATCTGGCTTCTGATAATAAATTCATTTCTGAGGATTTTCCGTGCATTGCGAACAGTCAAGTTGTGGAGAGGCATAGAATTAGGTTACAAATTCAACCACTGGAAAACCTAGTTCTGATTTAAAGAAATACTTTACACGTAAGAAAAAGTCTTAGCCGAATTTTTAACTGCCACTTTTACGCTAAAATATAGTATTTAGGCGTCAATTCCATGACCCAGAATTTCAGCTTTCTAACTTGATCCGTTTAAAAAATAAAGTGCTGTATATAAATCAATATTGCAATGAGTAAATCGTTTTTTTTTCAAGATTTCAAGATCATATTCAAATATTGTGATTCACTAAATGCGGTCTATCGCCACGAAAAAATTGAGCCAAATTACCAACCTCAAGGAAGTTCCATCTCCTTGTTAGTTGGTATTACCCTTTATTTCTAATTTTTCATTTCAGTACATGAATTTGTCCAGCTATCTATCCAAAGCAGCAAAATCATTTTTGGCATATATAATAGTGATGTGCTGGCTATACACTGTCTATATGAACGTCCGAAATGTAATGTATGATTATGTCTATCACGAGCAAATTAAACAGGTGAAATTGAGAAGGTAATCCCAATTTTCAATATTCTTTGTATAAGATAATACACATAATTCAAAACTACAACAAAAAAAATGTGTTTAAAAAGCTTTATGATATGATTATGATACGATATTGCACTCTCTTGTAGATATTTTTCTATTACTCTGATATTGCTGTTAGTAAGTTATGGGGCCGATCCTTCAAGAAAATTGCTAGACGCTTTGGTTACCATAGTGTTCATTGCCATTGGATTTTGCATGCAGATGTATTTATATGGTAAGCGTTGAGCATTAATAATAATAGAGTACGCTAGAAAAAAACTATTGTTTGAACGCATATCAGGAATGACAGCTTTTTATTTACAGCTCAAATATTACAAGTATGGAAGAAATTATCGAATGCACAGAACAAGAACGATGCCCTATTCCGCCAATTCAAAGAGTACATGAAATATAAAGGTTTGCCCATCCATCTTCGCGAGAGAGTATTTTTGTTTTTTAGCTTCAAGTTTCAGAACGAGTTTTACAGGGAATTACATATCAACAAAATGGTCAGTATTCATAACTTAGATCTTACCAATCAACGAATTCGAACACATTAGAAGGAGCCATTTCTATATGTTGACATTGCATTGTTTGTCCCCAAAACTGTGTAGTTTTAGTGCAGCTTTTCGTACTGGGTATACCCATGTATAGCGAGGCAGAATTACTATCTGTGTTGCGATGTAAATCGATCTTTTCCTGTTAATGAAGAGAAATAAATTAAATAAGGCAAAGGAACGAAAGTTAATATTTATTAACGGTACAGCTTATGCACAATTCTGCTGAATTTCTGATTTTGAAAGGTGAACAATAAGAAACATACTCTCCATCAAACAGAAGCAATGGCAAAAGATCTGATATTGCAAATAGAGGGACACCCTTGCATAGATTTTAGTCAATTCTTCAAAATAGTTGTCGTGATCAAATCAGATGCTTGGCTAAAAGCAAATACCTAGTGGAGCATACTATAGAAATTCATACTATTATATCATTTTCATATTTTAATTAATTTGATATTCATGGTTTTCTTTGGTCATACTGAGCTTCCTCCTTAGAATCCCGTGACACTAAGATCAGGTCAGAAAATACCTACTTATAGAGTGAAAGTATCTTTCGTAAAAACTTTTAGATTCAAAATTAAAAAACATAAAATTAAATATAGGTTTAGTTGGATTAAAGTTTCGGTTGGCCCTCTTCAGTATCCAATATGTTCAATTTTTCAACGTTGTCCAGGTGACAGCGCAATGTTGAGATACATGCCCTTTTGCAACTTCGATAGCTATAATATATAACACTTTTGATAAAAAGATTTGCTCTCATTAACTGCTTTTTGCAACCCACAGCAACGTTTATCATCTCCGGCAAGTATCTGAAACACTAGGATGTTATGGAATTCACGCGCTTTTATATGCGTTCGAACAAGAGGACGAGTGGAATTTCAACAACTTTCAAACTGACGGCTTAATCCTGGTCAATTTGTACTGTCTGACTGTACTAACTATATAATTTTCGGGACAAACAAATCGTATACTTGCTCCTTCTACTTAGTCCGAATTCGTTGTTACCAGTACCAGTAATTAACATACTGTCCAAGAATATGCCCAAAAATGTCATAGATTTGGGCATTCACATACAATTTTCATCTTAGCAGCCACGTTTCCAAGTAGGATCACAATAATCCCCATACAAGTTCCCAAAAAATGGCGTAAAATAGATAATGTTCTTTACAACTTAGCCTTTCTGAAGAAAAAATATAAATGTTCCAAGACAGTCAAACAGGCCATACAGTTCATCCATAGTTCTCACCCATTTGTTGACGCTGCGATCTAGAAATTTCTTCTCTGCCTCACCAATAGTATCGACCATCTGGCAACGTTGCTCAACTCAGTCATGAGCCGGCACCAGCAACGATCGGTCAGACGTGAGACCACCACACAGAGCTTACTGCACCTAGGCACACGTTCGTTACGTTGAAGCGCGATCGATGCGTGACGCCTATGTTGAAAATATTTCTCTATCAATTTGTTCTAATGGCAAATCTACGAGAAACTACTAGTAAGAGGTACGTAGAATTACCGGGGTTGGAAGCGTATGAATATACAACCGCAAAAAGCTGACACTCGTTAAAACGCCTAATTTTTTAACCCCTACAATTTTCTGAAAATGATCAGGAGCCTTTAAACAGGTATAAAACTAATTTTGAGTGATTCTTATCCTTTTCGTTTTTGGGCCACCACTAGATTGATTCCCAAAAATTATAAGGCATCTATCTATCTTAGGCATATCAGTAAGCTCGTGAAAAAAATTGATCAAAATCCGAGTAGTACTTTCCGAGTTATAGACGAGCCAAAGATCTGGGGACAGACAGACCGACAGAAATGCGTGACATGGTTTTTCGTGATGTACATGTCATGTAACATCCAAAAAACGTAATCTATTATTTTCGAAATATTCCGCGATTACAATACTTTTTTCGGGGAAGCAAAAGCTCCTTCAAGAGTCAGATTTATATATACAGATTTATATATACAGGGTGTTTCAAATTCGACCCTCACCATTGGTATCTTGGATACTGTAAGAGATACGAAGTCACTTGAATGGAGGCAAAGTTACGTATTTAGGTAATCAACAAAATGTGGTTTAGAAAGGTGCGAAATTCAAAGTACTCCCGGAGAGAGACGGAAAAACCGAATTTTCCCAAAATCGTTTTAATTTTTCCCTGACTTTATTTGTAGTGGGATTTCAAAATGAATGGCACAATAAAATCGATACCTTTTCTCCCCTAGAATAAGGCTTAATTATAATTTCAATGAGACGTTTCGTCTCTTGTCCTACGGCATCAACTTTATTTTTTCTTATGTACGCCATATTCGATTTTTACAGAGATGGTTTTCAATTTTGATTCCATGACGAATTGAAAATTTGACTACGCCATCTTGTAGATGAGAATAAGTAACAATGACACCATGCAATTTATTTTGAAATCCCATCTTAAATAAGGTCAGGAAAAAATAAAAGTGATTTTGGGATAAATCTGATATGAGAAACAAATGACCATCTGATAATTTTTCCAGTCCTACCAAGGAAATTCTGTGATTGTTGGAATAACTTGGCAATGACATTTTTGCAATCAGAATTAAAAACTCCATTCATTCTTGCAATAATCCAATATGGCATCTATAATAAAAATAAAGTTGATGCTGGATGACAAGAGATGAAACGTCATATGAAAATTCTAATTATGCCATCTTGCATACATTTTACAACACTATATATATTGCAAGTAAAGTCAGGAAAAAATTAATTTTAGGAAAATTTTATTTTTTCCGTCTCTCTCCGCAATTAATTTGAATTTCAAAACTATCTAAGCGGGATTTTGCTTATTACCTAAATCGCAAATTTTCTCCATTTAAGCAACTTTTTATCTCTTACAGTTTCCGAGATCCCAGTGATGAGGGTCGAATTTGAAACGTCCTGTATACCTTCCTTGAGGCTTGTGGCTTTCTTTGGAAATAATGGATCTGTACTCGGCATCAGTGAAACAATGACGTTTTCATGAGTAACGTTCAAGGGATGATTTAAATTTTCATTTCAGTTGTCATTGCAAGCTGTCATCGATTTCATAAATATTTTTTTCTTGGCCGTATCTAATTAGTTTTAATTATAAAATTGGAGCGATATGGTTTATTTGTGCTAAATATCAATAAATAATGCAAAATAATGCTGTATTTGCTTTCTCGAACTACATCGCATTCACAGAGAAGTATGTAAAAAACTAGGTTATACTGAAATAGTTATGAAATACTAGTTGACCCGATAGATGTTGCCCTGTCTTAGCTATGAACTGGACTGAGTAGTAAATAATAAAAGGGTAAATATATGGAATATAGGTAATTGTATAGCGAAGTGTACCGCCATGTGGCTAGCAAAATACGTTGGCAGCACTGTCATTCCTTCATCAACTTACTTTGAAAGTAGGCATACAAATATGTGGAATGAATTTTGTTGCTCCAAATGACGTCGCTTGAAATCAATTAGTGGATATGAGTCAAAAAATGTTTAGAATCTGGCCCATTTCTGGAAACCAATGAATGTCGTGACTCTGGTGGTGGTACCAATAGAGTCGATTTGATCTTTCCACTGACGCAACATAATCCAGAGGCTTCATTTTTAAACTTGAAAGCCTAGCAATGTGGACTCACAACTTTCATTGGTCCAATAGCAACAATTTGTTGTGAACTGTAATCGATTGCCACGTCATAATTGAATGAATCTCGATTGGGATTAAATGCAACACCTCTACGTTGTTGAATTTCAGACCTTCGATCCGTTCAATTTCATTTCTCGCTTGTCGTTGCTCATCATTTTGACTTCTTCGTATATATCTTTGACTTGCAAGTTCTGCGACCTAGGTTGGTACGTCTAATTGGTTTCATTTTGAAGAATCACAATTTTAATATAAGGCGTTGCGGTGAACTAACTTCCACCCTTGACCCTTGTTAATTATTTTTGATCAAATACTTCTCAAACAAACTCACTGAACAAACTGAAAATTGCATAATAGTTAAAAAACAATATTTTTCATCGATAAACACTGTTAAGCGATAATATAAATTTGCGGCGTGCGAGCTGTCAAGCTCAAAATGATAGAGTAGTGAAAGTCAATTAAGCAACAAAGTTTCATCCGCCATCTTTATTCATAGAGTTTACTCACAACGATAACAATTAGGTAACACTGCAGTTTCTTTTGAAGGGACAATCACAAAGTACGGATGGTAAAGAAATGCAAGTCCAAAAACGAAAGCACCCTATTTTCATAAGCAATTTGCTCTCACATAGCCAACTGTCAATAGCTGTTGGAATAAAGATGGCGGATAGGAGTGCCTGTCTGTTTTGGTACTTGAGATATTTCTTCTGCTGTGCGTGCTCCATGCTCAAGCAACCTGTCCCGCTCAATTTTCGTGATTTTTCTTTGCGTAAGAACATTCTATGCAGCATTAGGAAACTATTAAAAAAATATGAATGAATTCGGAAAATTCGGTCTCAAGTTATGGCGTGACCACGCGAAATAGCGATTCATTTTTATATATATGTATAGATATAGTTGTGCATGATTAGCATTTTTTTATCGATATTGATACATTATATTTGTATTTTATATTTTTCATGATTTAATTATATTCTAATAGATGCTAGTTACATTATAGGTAGAAAAAAAATAAGTAAATAAACTTTCATTATATTTTCATTCAGACATATGGTTTCATACAACAATTATTATGATTGGAATTCAAATATGGGGAGGTTTTACAACGACTTTAATTACAAGAACATGAGTCTCAATATTTCTTTTTCAGCATCATGTTCCGATCGCTCTAAAATTTCCAATTCATTATCATCGTTTTCGTCATCGGTATCGATCTGATACGGTGAAGCATTAGGGCAAGCTTTATTACACTGGCGGCAAGCTAAAGACCATTACAACGAATAGGCACATGTAAACCTAAACAAATTGCTCAATTCAAACGGAGACCTAAACCACCAACAAACTTATACGGTGTGGTTCAAATTTTGCTGACGTCGTAATGTGTACGAGGGAGAAGCGCAATATGTTTGTTAGAAAGAGTGTGCCGATGGCAACGCGTCAAGCCGCAGCTGCGCCCATGGCCTGCTTGGTATGCAACGAGGTGCTTCTATATCTTTCTAGCACACGTACTGCACGCTTCTCCCGCGTCACTCTTGTACACATCACGACGTCAGTGGTATATGGATTTCATTGTATATGTTGTATAGACCTTTTAGAGTACATCTATATAGTGTATAGATTTGCCACAAATCAGGTGCCTACAGGGTGCTTCTGTGCTTATAAGGGTTTACTACCCAAAATCGAAATAAAATTTCAGTACCCATACGAAGGATTGTACCACCAACAAACTCATATGTATGGTAGAAGGCCCATAAGGGCAGCATAGTTCTTTATTCGCGAATTTGCGAATTTTTATATAAGCATAATTTTATATAAGCATATCTTTGATTAATAAAAAATATCAGAAATATAATGTAGTTATTAAGGAAAAATGCTTATTAAGCATAAATATATATTGTTCAATGACGGCGTATTATTTATTGTCTCTAACAGTTGACCATGTATTCCGCTGTAAATAGCTAAGCGCTGCGCGTCCTCCGTCCTCTATCTCAGAAACAGTTAATTGCAATAAAAAATGTTTGAAACAAAAGCTGTAAAGAATTTTATTGCCGACAGTATTCATAATGAATGCAGTTAGCATTAAACCCATAGCGAGCGTTAGCAGTTATGCTGCACATGTTTCATTGTGACGTTTGGCTATATCAGCATTAATTTTTCTTTAGATATCAGATAACTTGAGACAGGAAATACTGCTGCACGTGACCAAAGTGCACATCCAACGTGTCGAGTTGTTCAGCAGTCTTCCAGAAGATGTGTTGCAGAAAGTGGTCTCCAGACTCAAGTCTGAAATCTTCTTACCTGACGAGGTCATCGTAGAAGCTGGAAGTACCGGAAGCTGCATGTACTTCATTCAGTTCGGTACAGTGGCAGTTTATACAAGAGCTGGAAGAGAAGTGAGTGTTATTTATTTATTTAGTATCGTGTATAGTCAAATATTGTGCTATTTGTGTATCGCATTTAGTTTTGTGACATAGCTTGGACTCTACTTTTATATTTATTGTACCACCATCAATAACTTGTTCGATTTTGTATTGACTTTGGCAGGTCGACCTTTTGTGATAAGCTGGTGTAAGATTCCAGGGCAATGAGTAGCGTTTATATGTACTTTGACTGCCTGCCGATATACATCAGATATCAGCTTTACGTTCACATGTAATACAGTATCGTACTGTCGTAAAATTTAATGATGCAGCTTTTAACTACCCTAAGGATGGTAGCTAGGACGACTAAGACTAAGACTAGGAGACAATAAAATACATTTTATTTAACTATTATTGATCATTATTTTAGCAGTTTTGAGAATTATTCCAATAAATATTTGCTAGCCTTTGCTGAACGAAATTAGTTGTCAAAAATATTTAGCATAAGTGTATACTTTTTTTTTGGGTATCTTATGTTTATTGGACCCTACCGCTGTCATTAATACGAGAAATTTGTAGTTAGACCAATAAAAATTGTTATTACAGTTATTAAATATATACGAAGTATTAATGGAACAAGGACAATATTCCTGGGACAGAAGGTACATAAAAAAAAACAAAAAACTAAAAAGCTCTTATAAGCATATGTCCCAAAATCTGCCACTACCACACTACAGGATGCTATAGATTTCTACGCCACAGATAAAACTGAATAAGGACATAAACGTGAACATTGTTCAAATAACCCTATGGTAGAGAGTAGAACGGGTTGAAGATCTTAATAGGATTTCATCTCAAATATTCAAACTAGTTGTTCCCCTCAACAAGTGGTTTTAGAGTTTAAGTATTACGTAACCAGATTGTTTTGATTATTAATTCCCACCCTCTCCCTTGTCAGCAAAAGTAAGCAAACCTCTTACTCCCTCCCATGATTACGTAAACATTTGGGTGCAAAATGAGAAAAGTGAAGACCCCTCCTCCCTGTTCAGTGCTTACGTAATACTTGAATGGTCCCTTATAAATATTTCAGAAGAGAGGTGATTAATGTAAATTGGAATTTATTCCAAAAAGCAAAACAATGTCAGGGGTCCGAAATTTCCCAAGCTTTACGCCACTGGTGTCGGCTCAAGCTCAAAAATGTATGTATGAATGTATGTGTGATATAATGTTGGTACTACCTGTACAAAATTTGATCCACTCCGAAGAGTTTTCTTCGAATATGAAATTACAACTTCAACACCCTGTACCTTGATAAGGGTGCATTTTATTTCCCACGAAGTTCATATGACTTGATACTGAGTTTCTTCTTCTTCTTTCCAATATGCAAGCACAGTACCCTCGCGCTCATACTCTTGGATGAATGTTTTTGTGTTTGGGGGGATATTTGACCCTTATTAACTATTCAATTCAATTTAATAATTATGTTTTTTTATGGTTTAAAACGTCTGGCGAAATTTATGGCCGGGGACTCTGGCTGTGCTGAATATAACTTTGTACTTATGTTTTACAAAGTATACACTATATAAGGATCAGCTACCAGAATTCTAGTAATTAGTCATATTTTTACTTATTTTTCTTACCTGTGCCTATAAATCGCTCCTCCACCCAACTTAGCAGCTACACTGGAGTTCAAAGCACGTATATGGTTATTTGGTTAAACTGGTAATTCACCTTCCGGGATACCTAAAATATAACAAATATCACCCTATACATATACTCATGACCAAAAATCAGTAGTTTTAGATATCTCTGAAAAAGAAACTTCCATAGTTTATACTTAAATTAATCCGATATAATAATAAAAGCTACAAAAGTTCGACACGCAATACAATAAAACCTATTCCAACAAATGCAAAGGTGTTCATCTTCAGTATTTTTTAAAAACAAACTAGAATCAATTAGTCGTATAGCAAGCTTTCCAAAGAGATATTATCAGTATAACTATGATGTCGCCGCGTCTAATGTTTGATGTACCCTTTAGGATTGCTTATCCTAAAATAGGATTTCAGCATTGTAAATGGCTTTATATTAATATTTTAATGAATATTGTAATTCACTTAGTATTTTTGTAATTGAAGATCTTCTGAAGAAGAATCTTCTGAGGAGGAATCACTAATTGAAACGGCACTGCAACTGACGCCGCTTGCTTTAAAATAACTCCTTAAGATATGTTACTCCTCGTCAATGACATTATCCAGGTCATACGACTTGGGTGAGGACTTCCTTTCCTGATATCAGTGAAAACCTCGGCCTTTCATCTGTCTTGAAGACTAGATCGTGGATATGGAGTTATTCTCGCTTTCTGAGCGAATTCACTACTTTCCAGAGAGGGAAACTTAAGTCAAGCATTGCTATATGCGCTGCGTACTCGTAATGCCACTCTTCTTCCAACTACTTCAAGTTTCTGCCGTAGCTTGGCGCGATTGAGTGCTCTCCACCATATTGGTGCTGCATAGAGGTGGACTGATAGCGACGCCGTGCATAGAACCTTCCTTTTCCTGACCCTAGGATCTCTACAGTCTTGGCGACTCCATCACAATTTTGAACGCCTTTTGCACCCTATTGTCTATATTGTCTGCAAAAGTAAGCTTGGTATCAAGCCAGACTCCGAGCTACTTCAAAGATTTGGTCGGTCTTACTACAACATCCTGCACCTCAAAGATAATAGCAGTCATCTTTTCTTGGTATTAGCATAACTGCCTCCGTTTTCTCTGGCGCAATTTGCAACGCGTGGTCTGCTAGCCAGTCAATTATCTCTTCGATAGCGCAGTTTGCCTTGCTCATCAGTTCCTCCTCGATCATTGCTACCACCACTATTGCCAAATGGTCCGCACAGACCACTGTAGAAATCCCATCTGGTATTTGTAACCGCAGAACTCCATCGTACATCAGATTCCATAGGGTAGGTCCCAAAATTGATCCCTGTGGAATGCCGATGTATTCTGGTTTCTCAGCAATTCCACTGTCCGTATCACGAAGTATAACCTTTCGATTCCGCAAGTAATCGACAATTAGCCGGAGGGTATCTGCTCTGACTCTTCCGCTCACCAGGGCATCGACAATCCCTTGACGTATTGCAGCGTTAAAAGCATTTCTTATGTGTATAGTGATCATCGCGCATAATTATAATTTCTTGTTGACCACTACTTCCGCGCTATTTGCAATGCTTATCACGTGGTTGATAGCATCAAGGGTTGATTTACCCCGTCTGAACTATAGTATCTTGCCGATATTGTCTTATTTACTTCTTCTAGTAGGCGTTCGAGGATCATATATTCTAGTAGCTTTCCAGCTGCGTCTAATAATGAAATCGGACGGAAATCCGCTGCTACCATTAGAGATTTATGTCTCTTCAGTAACAAGATCTGTTCCGCACGTTTCCAAATTGCTGGGAAGCTGCCAGTCGTGATAGCATTGTTCATCACCTTCAGCATAGTTTCTGGGAATTATCGCGAGTTTCACTATCTCCGACGGTATGTTGTCAGGCCCTGGTACCTTGTTGGGACTCAGTCTGCCCGCAGTTGCCAAAAGTTTGTGAATGTTGAAAGGTGGCACTCCACTAGGTGTCGTCTCCTCCCACACAACTGCAGCCCCATGTCTGGAAACAAATTCCAACTTCTTTGGTAAAGGGATCGCAATGTTGGGAGATGTAATCTTCACTCTGGAGACTGCTATCTGGTATCCTTGCCAGTATCTTTCCTTCGATGATTTAATGGCTTGGCGTAGCACCTTTCTTGTTGTTTCATAGGCTTCCTCTAGAAGGTCGCGCGAAGAGTCGGGGGCTATGTGCCTGCTATAGTAGACAGGCTGTCTTTTTTGGACCTTCCAGTTGCATATGTGTGGTCAACCGTCTTCTGAGGTTATAGTCAGGTCAATTATGGACGTTGATACTCCTCGGACAAAAGTTGGAGCATTGCCTTCGTTCATAACAACCAGTGATAATTCTGAGAGTCATTCTGTCAAAATTGCACTACGTCTATCTGAAAAGTGCACACCCCATTCTTTACGACTTTGCATTGGAATTACCGCCTAAAATGACGTCCTTGATAGAAAACATCAAGGCCCCTTTAAGTTCATCCAGACCGCAAGACTGCTTCAAAATCCGCAATCTCCACTGGACCTGCAACTATCCACACAAAACCTGCATCGGATCCGTGCGCCTGTACGTTGCAACTACGGATATGTATAGCTGCGTCTACAAGTTGGTCAGTATACCAGTTTTGGGAAGAGCTTACAATATTCTTGTTGGGTTCGGCGACGAGTAGTACATTGGCTCGGATGTCCTATGCCGTTGCTTAGAGAATGTCATGAGCTTGTCTTCCTCTGTCTACATTAATTTGTAGGATATTGAATGCTAGGCCTGTGTCGCCATCGGAGGGATAGATCTACATCCCTTACGACCAACCTGGTGATCCTCCTTTACATAACGGGAAATATGGCTTACCCGTAAACTCACTGGCTTTGTGTCCAGGCTATGCGCTCAGTGCGGACCTATCGGAGCCGGAACAGCATCTGCGGCATATGTCCCAGGGTTTCCTCAATGACCCTACAGCTACGAATATCTCCTTTAACAGCTTTAGAAACTGCCTTTTGTACCTCTTCCGTTGTAGTGACATTATCTAGCTACTTTATGTAGACGATTGATTCTTTGGTCGTGCTTGTCGTCTTTACACCGACTATCTTGTTATTTATAGCCGACCGCAAAGCATCCGTCTTGCCTTTTTTGATTTCAAGGAGTACGTTTTCCTTTTTTATTTGTCTTATTCTGAACACCTCCACGTCCACCTTATCGAGATCAATGCCGCTTTTAATGCCTCTGACAAGCTCCGCGTATGACTAGCCCTGACCTTGGATAATTACGGCGTCTCTTTGATACCGTTTCGTTTTGGTATCCGTTGACTTCTCCTTGGTTTGGTGATCTCTCTTGCTGGAGCGTTTTTCTACCGGTTTATATATAAACAGCAAGATTTCTGTATCACAGAATACATACTCCACCAATTTTTCTATTTGTTCCCAGTTGTATGTTGGAACGTGTGGTATTGCCAACGTTCCCCTACCATACTTTAATGCGAGGTCTCTGAGTTTACAGGCTGACTGCTTCAGTCTCCACGAGCTGTAGTGGCTCCTCTTCCGTAAGCATGTGGAAAACATACATTTCCTTTTTCTCCATGCCATCTTCCAAAGGGGTCGTAATCGAGTTTACCATAAAAGCTACACCACTTGTTTCTGAGATTGTAGTTCTACTCCCCCGTATCTCTCCTTAAAGCGTCTCGCAACTCCTTTTGACATTTCAAACCACCTCGAAGTAATGTTCACGAGGTCCTCTTCCCACAGTGCGTGCATGGGGACTCCTGTCAACTCATTTACTCGCTGAAAAACAGCCCTGGCCATCGGTTTTGGGCCACCTCGGTAAAGTTCTCATAATTAGTTCCACTCTTAATCTCGACTTGGACTCTCTTCACCTTCTCCAGCTCGTGCTTTTTCGCTGTCTGTTCATCCAGCAGCGGCATGTCCACTTGGACCTCCGCACCTGTCATAGTCGCAACCTCTGTTTGTGTTTCCTGACCAGACATCACGACACACGTTCTAATATGGAATTTGCCTCTATTTAGTCTCTGCAGTTTCATTGCCATGATCAGAATGTCACTCCCCGCCTTTTTAATATCCATTTTGGTGTTGACGGCCCCCTTGAGGAATTCCTAGAGGCGTCTTGCTTTCTGGAGAATTGTTTCTATCGCGTCTCTTAGTTCATTCTTCCCAAGCTTTGATGTGGGAACCTCTTCATCGGATCTCTTTCTTTTCGTGAAAGAGATCTCCGCCGTCTGTGATATGGTATGGTGTACGTTAGGCAGTGACATAGCTCTGCTCCTAGGTGAGCTTCTAGGGATGATGTCTTTTCTAAAAAAAGGGTCTACCGTCTCGTCTACCTTTGATTTGCGTTTTCCTGTTTGTTTTCCATTTCCAGTCTCTAATTGTTTGTTTTTACTGTCAGAATTCATATTGTTCCCACGCGTATAGGTCGAAATAACAAGAGGGGGACTGCGTACTCTTAGGTGGCCCTGGTGCCTAGATGTTTTAACGACTTTGCTGTCGGTTTTTTATAGAGGTTGTTTCCTCGCGAGACGGCCAATTAAGGCAGCTCACAACTGGAATCGTTGAAGTGCAAGGGACAACTTATGGCCTTACAGTGGGCTGGCGTTCAGTAGTTATCTTTAAAGAAGACCATTTCATCGCCATGTCATCATTAATACTCTCGGGTCGCCATCCATTTGATAACCAAACGTAACCATTTCGTTGCCTGGTCGCCGTCATGTCCATCCGCCCTACTCCCATCTCCACTGTAGCCGTCTCAGTAATTGCAGATTTTCCACCTATAGAGCTGCAAATATTAGAACGATCGGATAGGCTAGACGGAAAGGCAAAAGCAGATGCTCGGGAACTGCTACTCTAACGATGGCAAGAAGCTTGGGACACAGCTGAGAAGGGTCGCTGGACGTGGCATCTCATCAGGAACGTGGAGCAGAGGGTGACCAGAGAGTGGGGGGAGGTCGACTTCTATCTCACGCAGTTTCTCACGGGGTACAGATGTTTTGAGGCATATTTCCATCGTTTTCATTTGACAGAAGACCCCGGATGTCTGCACTGTGGCTTTCCGGATGACGCATTCCACACATTTTTTAATGCGACATCTGGAATACAGAACGTAACAACTGCCTGAACCGATATACGCCCGGACAGCATCGTCAAGCTGATGTCGTCCTCGACAGTAAAAAAGCAGCAAGACATCGCACGCTGAACACCGCAGAGAGCCTGAACTCCTAATCCCCATGTATATGGGGGAGGGGAGATGAAGGGCAAGAAGATATGTCCACCAAGATAGTTCCGGGAAAGGGGCGATTCATAGGACCTACTCGCTCCAGGTTGCGGCCTGCCGACGGTCCCGAAAAAAAAAGTCAAGCATTGCTGCTCGAAAGTCACTCCATCACCCACTGAAGAATTCATGAAATGCATTTCTCACCTCATGCTTTGCGAATCTCTCCAGGGTGATGCTTTTTGTAGGTTGGCTCTTGTTGGTGACTTCCTTTGTGGTTTTGTTCCCTCTTCATCTTCGCTTCCTCAGGTTGCACCCGTATCTGGATGGAAGAAATGCGGCGTATTGTCAGTAACCCTGTATAAGCGCTACTCAATGCAGTACGCTTTGTATTTCAGAAAATATGTAATGTGTGGCGCCTTTAAAAATTCGGACATCGTCTCCACTATTAAATTGCAACATTACATGTTGTTTGCCGAAAAACCTGCCAGTGAACATGATAACGACAAAATGACGTCACTATTCGGTCACTTTTGGTCGGAAACGACATTGACTAAAAAATGACGTCTTTATTGATGCCATTTTTATGACGTGAACAGGACGTCCTTTAACGTCTTTTTCATGACAGTCAGTACTAAAAAATATTTTAATAAACAGTAAACTAGATATCTAAATACAAATAACTTTATTATTATTTATAAAAAAGTATCCGGAATTCTCGCCCAAAAATATGACTTTTCTAATAATAATATCCCATCTTCAGATATTTCAAATTGCCATTTTACAAAATGTTTTATTCCCGTAAATAACAAATTTACGAGAAACTTCACTGTATAACAATAAATAAATTCTACTAGAGTATTTGTAATGTAATCAAGCGCGGTAAAAATTCAAATTTTGGAGCGGTATAGTATTCAACCGATTACCAGCGAAGAAGCACGATTGTGCTTGTCGGTGAGCTCGGCCGATGTCCAAGCTCCATGCGTGTTTGCCTTCTGGCAGTGTTTCGGCCATTTTGTTCTATAAATCTATGGGTTTGACCGGCGACACGATGGCTTCGTCGTCTTTAAGGTACATTTTAGGGACGATAGTATTGCCATATAGTCAATAAGGCTTGGGTGAAATCCAGGAGACAAGAAGTGTTCCGGCCTCCTGTAAAAAAGCAAAGCGATTTTGATAAATTGCTACAAACAAATTCTGAATCATAGGAGGCACCTGTTTGAAATCAAACGGTGTTTTTTGGTTTTTATTAACCATTCCGATCCGCTTTGTAGAAATGCTCCTGATAAATTGTGGAGGTGATAACGACGTCTCGGAACGCGAGGGTTCAAGAGTGGTAGGTTAATAGAATATGAGTTTCGGCGAATTTCTACCACTCCTGAGCTCACTGCTTGTGAGGCGTCGTTGTTTCGTCCTCAATTTCACGTTACATAGACGTCATATCGACTTCAGATAGACGTCATATCTACGTCATACAGACGTCATATCCACTTTGTATTTAGTCTTTTATACGACATACTATGACGTCATATAATGATGTCTATTAGGTGTGACATTAGACCGCCATAATGATGTCATTCTTACGTCATTTTTGTTGGTCGGCGTACGTCAGTAGTGCCCCAAAAATGCTGACATTATGACGTCACTATGTTCACTGAGCTAAGAGTTGACTTTTGAGACTATTTACATACGATTTGGCTCTTCCGCCTTGCATCAACATTTTTCTGTGATTTATTTCAGAAAATGGAAATATCGATTGTATCTCCTACGATTTATTCCAGATTTGCCACTTACAAGATGGCGCCCACTTTGGGGAAATAGCTTTAGTTTTCAATGAGACTAGAGTCGCTACTGTGGTCGCAGTAACTGCTTGTGAATTGTACAAACTCAAAAGAATCGACTTTTTCGAGGTGATTGAAAATTATCCAGAGCAGAAGCAGAAGGTCATTGAAATGGCCATACAGCGTCTCTTAATTACTTAATAAGAAACAAAATGTTTTTTTCTATGTACTTTGAGATATCCATGGAAGAACTCGTCCCTGAGAGCCATCTGCTATTTTAACTTCAGAATTAGTTTATTAAAGTACAAATCGTACATAGAAATGCAGTCGATGTTTTGTCAACGTTGGTTGTATCTTGGTTTGTCTAATTATTTATATACTTAAGATATATCTACCGGGTGTGCCATTTATAAAGGGCTCCGGCAATATCTCGGCAACTCTACCTAGCTATCGTTAAAACAAATTATAACAAAAATGGCTAAGAGAAATTGATAAATATTATTTTCAAGTTCCTAAAATAGCTGTGACCCACACTAAAGTAGGAATTGTCGAACACTCAAAAATCAATATATATATTTAGGTATAGTTGATTCATTAGTTTCATTTGAAAGTGTATTAAGGTATGATTCTAGTATTGGCTAAGTTTTGTCAATTCAGTTATTTTTTCCATCTGTTGCCATCTGGTAAGTGGCGCTCAATGACAAAATCACCAAGTATGTTTAAAAGACAATGGTATTACTTTTCATTATTCGCAAAGTACATGTAAAATCGTGTATGCTAGTGAAAACCATAGGCCGTTTTCCATATTGCTATTGTTATAAGTAAAATTAAAATTTATTCAGTGTTCATGTTTAGCTGGATTAGGTAAAGCATTGACACTAGGATAGGTGTATCAAATGTATTACTTAAGTACATACTTACATATAAACAGAAAGTGAAAAAATTTAGAAAATCTTGTTTGGGAATCTTTTTTTATATATTAAAGGTTAGGTAGCGGGATGTGGGTTTAATGTACCATTTTGGAGAGTCGTCAGATTTCCGTTAGGTTACATCGATGAGTATAATCAGACAGCCCTTCGGAGGAGCCACAAAATTGTATCTTGCGAGTCATGCCGTGTCACTCAGAAACGGAAGCAAAAGAATGAAACAGAATAGTACAGTTTCAAAACTATTCGTATTTGTTTCAAGATGTCGCTTGAAGATGAAGCAGCTTCTGATATTCCCGCTGTAGATTTTTAGCCGATTATTATAAACTAATGTTAACAGTTTCAGCATTTTTGCTTCTTTAAATTATTCTTTTGCTTCTGTTGTTATGGCTCACTAGACTCACTGAGATTCCTTCGAAAGACACTCTTCAATGGTCTTTACATTCAATACTCGACCTAACCAAGCAATAATCAGCTCAACCAATTTCAGAGCGCAAACAATATTCTAAAGAAGTTATTGTTGATTTTTTACATATAGCAGCCAGGCAGTCTGAGTAGGTGCGATTCACTAACATTGTGTCAAGGAATAATTTCTTTGCGTTTGTGTTTTAATTATATAATCCCTCTTGCGGTCACGGTTAAGGCGTGAAGGTGACTTTTAACTCATTACGTATTCAAAAGTTATTTAAATACTTCATGTAATATAACAATCATCGCTTCACCGCTGTACCTAATCTAAATTAAAATTTTAAATAAATATTTTTAGTCAAAACTTTAAAACGAATAAAGATAAGGACATATATGTCTTTCAAAGACGATTGAAATTTTCGAAAAAATTCAGAAAAACGGCGACTTTGTCATTAAGCGTCACCTAACGGAAGAACCGACAAAACTTAACAACCGCTAGAAACGCCATTCTGAAAGAAAACAAGACCACGGAAATTGATAAAACGAACCACAAGTTCCACCACTTTTCCTGACATTACGCTGAGCCCTCACCCATTCATAAGTCAATCAATTAACAAAAAAATTATGAAAGAGCAAAACATGACTACTATCCAAAGGACTTTTTTAGATATGTGTTAATTTTGATTGTTCGTGGAAATTGGTATTTCTAGTTTTGAGGTTTGAGTTACGGCCCCTAGCGGTTATTTTAGGAAGCTGAAAATAATTTATAATAATTTCACTTTTGTTATAAAAGGTTTTACCTGGTAGCTCGAGGTTTAGTCGTTACCGAGATGCAGCGGGCGTCCTCTACTAATAAACAATTCGGTACATGGTATTGTGTTATAGTTTACGTTATATTATGTTGTACCTCAATATGAATAAAAGGTTAGTAGAACTTTCCTGTTTTTTCTATTTTCCAGGTCCTTAAGGTACTCAAGTAAGCGACACCCACTAATTACGTCAGGCGTTTTTAACTTTCTGACTCCCCTATGCACCCCTGGTGAGATGTGGTGAGATTTGGGCTAATGCCTGCCCCTAACTAATTATCTCACGTGAGATTTTCAAAAATTTTAAATTTTAGTGTAAAAAATTTATTTGAATACTACAGTTTGTACCATCATTTTTATTTAAGACTAGTGAAGGCTAGTTTTTAAGATTGCTCAAGTCGTAGATTAATATAACAATAATAAAATTTAACAATAAATTCTTAATAATGTGTACTAAAATTAATAATAATAATGGTAATATAATAATATTAATAATAATAATAATAATAATAATAATAATAATAATAATAATAATAATAATTGTTTAACCTGTTCAGTGGCAAGTAGACCTCTTCTACATTCATGATAGTTCCGACTAATATCTGCGGTGCGCGATCCACAATGGTTCGATTCTGGTGCGATAGATGGAGCTTGGCGCTAGCGAATGCTGAAAATAGTAATGTTTATTGTCACAAAATACAAGTATATATTAAATATTATGCACAATAGACATAAAGCCCCCAAAGGAGTTTGCACTTGTGTTTGGGTTTATTAAAAATAAAGACAAACAGTACAGTCAGTGTTTGAAAAACGTAAATACTATATAATTTGGTGAATTGAATTATTATGGGGATGTCAGGAGAAATATCCAGACAGTTATAAATTATAACTAAAGGAAAAGTATGGATGTTAGTGTAAGTAAAATATTATTTTTTTACCTATTATTATACTTTGATAATGTTAGTTAATATCCAGAATTTCGTGGATAAGGCATCTTGGTTGTTGTAAAATCCATTTTTTAGTCCTTTTTTAAATGACCTAATTGATTTAAATGCTTTTAATGACTCTGGTACGAAGTTATAGAATTTTGGTTCTCAACAGAGATAGTTGTTTAATGGTTCTTTATGTTTGTGGAATATACATTGAATTTTGATTGAATCTTGTTCGGTAGTTATGATTAGTACGATTAGTACGTATTTCGATTATTTAACCCTTAACTGGTGACGTGCCGTATGAGATACATAAACGGTGAGGTGCCGTCTGGCAGACTATTTTTTATATGAGGTTAAAAATTAAACACAATTGAAAATTTTCATTATTTTTTTATTAAACATAATTAGTCCGGACGTTTTTGAATATAAACTCACAAAAATTACCAAAAAAATACCCTAGAAAATCATGAACTAAAAAACATAATAAACATATTGCACAAAGAACTTAAAAAATATGACCATCGAACAAGGCTGCACAATCAAAATAAAAAGACAACCAAAAGCGTTTTCCTTCTGAAGTTTTGTTGAAAATATATAAGGAAAACGTAAAAATATTTATGCATTACTTATTTTAAAAAAATATGCATTCCAGCAACTATAAATTTTTACCGGTGTGAAGTTGGCAGACAAAATTTAGCGGACAATTTGCCGAAGATACCCGAATGACCAGTGGCGTCGACATCCTCGATCAGACTGTGATTGTGAAGGATACAGCTAACAGCTCGCAACAATAAATATATATATATATGCACGAGAATAAGCACCCCTATAGGAAGAATCATTTTCCACCCTAATTAAATAATTGGTAGGAACAAGAGTTAACCCACAACCTTTCTTCGAGTTTTCACTTACCGATTACTGTATTGAAAGTAATTAATGAGCTAAATAGCATATACTGAGAAAATCTCTAAAGGGGTGCTAGATGAAAAAATATAAATAAAACTTCATTTTCACCCCCAAAAAAATGATTCCACAAAATGATTTATATCTCAAAAAAATACTCTATAACAGAGACAATTCATGGGCTAGGTGGCATGGTGTGAGAAAGCTTCTGAAAGGCTGGCAGATAAAAAAATATGCTAAAAAATTCATTTTCACCCCCAAGGAAATGATTCCCCAAAATCAGTTGTACCTCAAAAAAATACTCTATTACAGAGACTACTTATAGGCTGGATGACATGGTGTGAGAAAGCTTCTGAAAGGCTGGCAGATAAAAAAATACGCTAAAAAATTAATTTTCACCCCCAAGGAAATGAATCCCCAAAATCAGTTGTACCTCAAAGAAATACTCTATTATAGAGACAATTTATAGGCTAGGTGGCATGGTGTGAGAAAGCTTCTGAAACGCTGGCAGATAAAAAAATATGCTAAAAAATTCATTTTCACCCCCAAAGAAATGAATCCCCAAAATCAGTTGTACCTCAAAGAAATACTCTATTATAGAGACAATTTATAGGCTAGGTGGCATGGTGTGAGAAAGCTTCTGAAACGCTGGCAGATAAAAAATATGATAAAAAATTCATTTTCACCCCCAAGGAAATGATTCCCCAAAATCAGTTGTACCTCAAAGAAATACTCTATTATAGAGACAATTTATAGGCTAGGTGGCATGGTGTGAGAAAGCTTCTGAAAGGCTGGCAGATAAAAAAATATGCTAAAAAATTCATTTTCACCGCCAAGGAAATGATTCCCCAAAATCAGTTGTACCTCAAAAAAATACACTATTATAGAGACAATTTATAGGCTAGGTGACATGGTGTGAGAAAGCTTCTGAAACGCTGGCAGATAAAAAAATATGCTAAAAAATTCATTTTCACCCCCAAGGAAATGATTCCCCAAAATCAGTTGTACCTCAAAGAAATACTCTATTATAGAGACAATTTATAGGCTAGGTGACATGGTGTGAGAAAGCTTCTGAAACGCTGGCAGATAAAAAAATATGCTAAAAAATTCATTTTCACCCCCAAGGAAATGAATCCCCAAAATCAGTTGTACCTCAAAGAAATACTCTATTATAGAGACAATTTATAGGCTAGGTGATATGGTGTGAGAAAGCTTCTGAAAGGCTGGCAGATAAAAAAATATGCTAAAAAATTCATTTTCACCCCCAAGGAAATGATTCCCCAAAATCAGTTGTACCTCAAAAAAATACTCTATTACAGAGACTACTTATAGGCTGGATGACATGGTGTGAGAAAGCTTCTGAAAGGCTGACAGATAAAAAAATATGCTAAAAAATTCATTTTCACCCCCAAGGAAATGAATCCCCAAAATCAGTTGTACCTCAAAGAAATACTCTATTATAGAGACAATTTATAGGCTAGGTGGCATGGTGTGAGAAAGCTTCTGAAACGCTGGCAGATAAAAAAATATGCTAAAAAATTCATTTTCACCCCCAAGGAAATGAATCCCCAAAATCAGTTGTACCTCAAAGAAATACTCTATTATAGAGACAATTTATAGGCTAGGTGGCATGGTGTGAGAAAGCTTCTGAAACGCTGGCAGATAAAAAAATATGCTAAAAAATTCATTTTCACCCCCAAGGAAATGATTCCCCAAAATCAGTTGTACCTCAAAAAAAATACTCTATTACAGAGACTACTTATAGGCTGGATGACATGGTGTGAGAAAGCTTCTGAAAGGCTGGCAGATAAAAAAATACGCTAAAAAATTAATTTTCACCACCAAGGAAATGAATCCCCAAAATCAGTTGTACCTCAAAGAAATACTCTATTATAGAGACAATTTATAGGCTAGGTGGCATGGTGTGAGAAAGCTTCTGAAACGCTGGCAGATAAAAAAATATGCTAAAAAATTCATTTTCACCCCCAAAGAAATGAATCCCCAAAATCAGTTGTACCTCAAAGAAATACTCTATTATAGAGACAATTTATAGGCTAGGTGGCATGGTGTGAGAAAGCTTCTGAAACGCTGGCAGATAAAAAATATGATAAAAAATTCATTTTCACCCCCAAGGAAATGATTCCCCAAAATCAGTTGTACCTCAAAGAAATACTCTATTATAGAGACAATTTATAGGCTAGGTGGCATGGTGTGAGAAAGCTTCTGAAAGGCTGGCAGATAAAAAAATATGCTAAAAAATTCATTTTCACCGCCAAGGAAATGATTCCCCAAAATCAGTTGTACCTCAAAAAAATACACTATTATAGAGACAATTTATAGGCTAGGTGACATGGTGTGAGAAAGCTTCTGAAACGCTGGCAGATAAAAAAATATGCTAAAAAATTCATTTTCACCCCCAAGGAAATGATTCCCCAAAATCAGTTGTACCTCAAAGAAATACTCTATTATAGAGACAATTTATAGGCTAGGTGACATGGTGTGAGAAAGCTTCTGAAACGCTGGCAGATAAAAAAATATGCTAAAAAATTCATTTTCACCCCCAAGGAAATGAATCCCCAAAATCAGTTGTACCTCAAAGAAATACTCTATTATAGAGACAATTTATAGGCTAGGTGATATGGTGTGAGAAAGCTTCTGAAAGGCTGGCAGATAAAAAAATATGCTAAAAAATTCATTTTCACCCCCAAGGAAATGATTCCCCAAAATCAGTTGTACCTCAAAAAATACTCTATTACAGAGACTCTTTATAGGCTAGGATGACATGGTGTGAGAAAGCTTCTGAAAGGCTGGACAGATAAAAAAATATGCTAAAAAATTCATTTTCACCCCCAAGGAAATGAATCCCCAAAATCAGTTGTACCTCAAAGAAATACTCTATTATAGAGACAATTTATAGGCTAGGTGGCATGGTGTGAGAAAGCTTCTGAAACGCTGGCAGATAAAAAAATATGCTAAAAAATTCATTTTCACCCCCAAGGAAATGAATCCCCAAATCAGTTGTACCTCAAAGAAATACTCTATTATAGAGACAATTTATAGGCTAGGTGGCATGGTGTGAGAAAGCTTCTGAAACGCTGGCAGATAAAAAAATATGCTAAAAAATTCATTTTCACCCCCAAGGAAATGAATCCCCAAAATCAGTTGTACCTCAAAGAAATACTCTATTATAGAGACAATTTATAGGCTAGGTGACATGGTGTGAGAAAGCTTCTGAAAGGCTGGCAGATAAAAAAATATGCTAAAAAATTCATTTTCACCCCCAAGGAATGAATCCCCAAAATCAGTTGTACCTCAAAGAAATACTCTATTATAGCGACAATTCTAGGCCTAGGTGACATGGCTAGTGAGAAAGAAAGTTGTGAAAGGTGGGCAGACTAAAAAAACTCTGCTCAAACATTCATTTTCCCCCCAAGG